GTGAGCTGCCCGGGGGCGGGTCGCCTGGGCCTGTGCAGGGAGGGCTACAGGCGTGGGGTAGGCTTATTCCTGTTTCTCTTGTCTCCACCCACAGGCCTCACATGGTGCGTGGCCCATCGTAAACAGTGGCGGCTGGCTGTGCACGCGTGCACGGATGAATGGGTGCCCTTCTGTTGCGTGTGTTAAAGGTGAAGTATGTGAGGAGAAGGTGACGCATGCACTTTGCTCTAGGTGAAGGGAACGTGGCTGCAGCCCCTGCCGGCGTTGGCCCCGAGGAATGGGAAAACGAAGATGAGGGCTACGATGTCCCTAAGCCGCCCGTGCCCGCAGCGCTGGCCCGCCGGACACTCTCCGACATCTCGAACGCCAGCTCCTCCTTCGGCTGGTTGTCTCTGGAAGGCGGCCCCGCAGGTGAGTCTCGGGCTGCCTGGCTCCTCCTTGATGCTGAGCAGAGATGCCTGCCCGCCTGGTCCCCAGGAACTGAGAGCTGGAAGCAGTGAACTAAGAAGTCCGTCCGAGGGGCGGGAAGCTGGTCCTGGGCCCCAGTTAAGGAAGTTAAACTGCAGTCAGACCCTGGGATTCGGCCAGACGTCGGAATGAGGTGTGTCCTTACACAGGCTCCCCCAGGGCTCCTGGCGCTTCTGAGGATGTGAGGACATGGCCATCGAGCTCGATGGTTCAGGCCATGCATTCCGGACGCGGCCCCCTTCCCTGGGAAAGGGGTGCTGGCCAGGGGCCAGCCCGCAGTTGGGCCTGACTGTCTGGGCTGTCTTCCTGCACCTGTGGCTGCTGGGGCGCAGCGGCCAGAGCTGTCACGGGGACAGCCGGTGGCAGCGATGTGCAGCCTCCAGTCCCGAAGCAGGTGGTGACCCAGCCGCCCTCTTGTTTATGCTTCACTGCGAATTGTGCCCCTTTCTGCTTTGTTATTTGCAAAAGGGGAATTGTAGTGTCTTCTCCGGCCCCTCAGAAACACTTACAAACGAGTCCCGGCCGTGTGGTGTGTGTTGCCAAGGGTGCTGCGTGACGCCACGCCATGAGGTGCTGGGCAGCAGTGGCGAGAGCCAGGAGGGCAGGTGTGGGCTGTTCGCAGGGGCTCTCGCTGGGAGGCGGCGTGTGGGCCTGTAGACCAGCCTTGGACTGAAGAGCCTGTGTCCCCCTGAGGGAGGCCAGCAACAGCCGACGGCAGCACGTTGGTGTTACTCCTGCCAATAGTTGGGGTTCCCCCGGGTTTGCAGACATTTTCTTTCTTATTTCTTCTAGACTTCACGGAGGGTGCCCCAGTTCCCGAGAGACCCCCCAAGCCATTCCCTCGGAGAATCAACTCTGAGCGGAAGGCAGGGCCGGGCCATCCAGGTGCCACCGCGGCCACCTCACCGCAGCTCTCCAGCGAAATCGAGAGCCTCTTGAGCCAGGGCTACTCCCACCAGGACATCCAGAAAGCCCTGCTCATCGCTCACAACAACATCGACATGGCCAAGAACATCCTCCGCGAGTTCGTGTCCATCTCTTCTCCCACCCACGTGGCCACCTAGCACCCCTCTGCCGGCGCTGGCGAGGAAGTGGCTGGGCTCCTCCCGGGCACCGGGCAGGGCTCCTGGAGACTTCGCAGTGAGGTCAGCCCTGCCGTGGCATCTCTGTGGCTAGGATTTCAAAGCGGTGGGTGAAAATGGAGCGGCTGGTGGTGGTGTATTGGTTGGGGGAGTGCGTTAGAAGGCTCTCAGGCCCCACCTGGGGCGAGTGGGGGTTTTTATAAAAAAAGT